AAATTGAACGGCCAATCTGAAAATAACAAAAAAAAGGGGGGGTTTCATTTAAAAAACCAGAGTTGGTAACTACCACACGTTTATGATGCACCCTGAAAGTAATTTTAGAATGTGGACCTTTTAAACGTGAAAAACTTTCGTTGGACGAATTTTCTTGTAAACTTCATATTTACTGAGATATCGCACTTTGACGCACTAATGAGCAACCCTGTATATTATATTATATATATTATTACTCAGGCTCACGTTTCTAAAACACCCTTTTTTCAGACATATACGGCGACATGCTGGAGCAATTCCAGCCTGACATCTTCCACATGGGCGGCGACGAAGTCAACTTCAACTGCTGGAACAAAACTGAAAGCATGGTTAACTGGATGGCCGCCAAAGGCTGGGGACGAACCGAAAAAGACTTCGTCCGACTCTGGGATCACTTCCAAAGCCAAGCGGTCCAAAAGGTCTATGAGAAGGTAACCGCGCTAGATTGCAAATACCTCCGCTAAATACCTCCAATCCAGGCAGGAAGGCATATCCCGGTGGTCATGTGGACCAGCCACCTGACGCATAAAGAATACCTAAGCGACTTTCTCCCCAAAGACCAGTACATCATTCAGATCTGGACCACCGGAGAGGACGAACAAGTACATGAGCTGTTGACGAAGGGTTACAAAGTGATCCTAAGCAACTACGACGCGCTGTATCTGGACTGTGGCTTTGCCGGATGGGTGGCTGATGGCAACAACTGGTGCTCCCCATACATTGGATGGCAAAAGGTGTACCAAAACACACCGAAAAAAATTGCGGGTATGTAATAGCAGAGATTAGTTGAAAGTACGTAAAAAAGTGTACCGGAATCTACCATTGCGCCACTGTGGCGGGCACCCCGAACTATGACTACGTTGAAGCAGCGTAGGAGAGGTAAATAGTGGGGATCGTGGGCGTCTTACATTGCCGGTTAAGCCTGTCGTGCTTTGCATGAGTTTTCTGACGAGCGCAGTTCGGGCAAAATCGTAAGATTTCGCATATGTGGGTATCGTCACCCGAAACCTTTCTTATCGCACAAATTGTGAATGTTGTGTCAAATAAGCACATTTATTGGCGGTAATTTATTCATCGTAACTATACAACTGTTAATAATAATGGATGATTTTCTTTTGGAAAATAGTTGTCTCGCCAGAATTCGATTAAAGTTAAAAAGAAAAAAACTATTGGCTTGCTGATAACGTTGCTATGAACGAAAATAATTTGGAGAATTCCATCATTTTTCGCTGATATCCCACAACGACTTTCTTTCATATATAAGAGTTATTAGTTTTCCAACATCCATATCAATTTTGTGTCACAAACATTTTCGCTATTCAGTCAGATACACTGCGAACCTGCGAACAAATCCCATTTACATCCCAGAGTTCAAATAATCTTGATATTTTTGTCTTTTTTATAACATTTTGAACCAGTTATAGTTTTTGCGCAAAAAAGTGATTTTTGTTCTCTTGGCAACTGAAAATTTTAGACATTCATTAAGTTTTTAATTTACAAAACATTCGTCAGGGCCTAATTTTGTTAAAAAGTCGCTTTTTCTTTTCGTGAGATTTTTTATGATCGCAATTTGGACGAACCCGCTTGCAAAAGACGACTGGGCCTAAAACTTTGACCATTTCGGTCAGTTAAAAAATGTAAAACGCTTGACAGTTAATTTATTATAAAAACACATTATCACTTACTACGACTGTTGCAGTTAATGTCTCAAATTGATAAATAGCAAGAAAACGAAAATCATTTTTTGGCGCAAAAACTATGAATGCTACAAGATTTTATAGAGCCCAAAAATGTTTCAAACGAATTAGTGCATCAACTCAAAAAATCAATGGATTGAGATTCAAAAGCCGTAAGAAATATCTAGACAAACAAGGTATACCTGTTTCAAAGAAAAAAATGGGTCTATCCAACTGCTTGATCATATCCTTAATTTTGGCAACACCGTTAAATTTGTACTCATTACAAAAGTTAGTTTTGACCGTACCTCTACAATAACAAGATTTCAGATAAATTTCCAATTCAAAAAGACGAGTATCTATGAGCTACTTTTGCTGCAAAAATTTGCAGAACGGCTAATAAACGGTGTAATAACCAAGAATAAAATTTATTTTTCAACTTGTCACCCATAAGTCGATAAGGAAGCCAGATCGGAATTTTTAAAAAATGAAGTACTGGCCTTATTTTCAAGTCTTATGTCTAATAAACTAAGAAAATTCAACTAGAAATAAATGTATGATTAGACATTTGTAATTTTCTTTAATTCCTAGTTTTTACTAATAATATTTTTTCTATATAGCTGTTTTGTAACGCTGTTATGCTCGCTCGTCTTACCAAAAATTGTAACTATTAATAAAAACTTTAGAGCATGCATTCTACGTTCATAACATATGTTGTCTTGATCGAACCAATCTGGGAATCTTTCACGAGTCTATGTTTCAACAATTTCTATTAAATGAAACAACAATTTTCTTTGATGCCATACACTTTCATGATACATGTCAGATGCTTCTAATTGCCAATTTACCACATTGGCGAAAAATTCTGTTTGTCTCGTCAAGTATATGATTTCTGGCGTGTCCGGATTCGAATGCGAATATTCTCTGTATTTAATATATTGTTCATTATCTGTAGTTGACGAGTTGATATCTTTTATCAAAACCTTTTTACATTCAAGACAGGAACATTTACTTAAACATTTTTTAGCTATATAACCAGCAAAGAAAGTTATCGCATTTGATTCAAACATAGCGCCATTGCAGGCTTCCCACTGGAAGCTACGTAATATACAAATTCATTGAATCAGCAGCTCGAATGATTCCCTGAATGCCCATCAATTCCTTTGATCCGTCCTCAAGTAAATCTAAGTCGTGGGCTAATTTTTGCTGGATTTTCCATGTAAGAAATATCTTCATTACTTGTTCTATTAAAGAACGCTAATCCTCTCACAACGTTTCCTTTCTTACTGCTATGAATAAAATATGTTGATAAAATATGACGAAATGCTCATTGATGCATTCTACAGGTGCATTCAATCCACCTCTTCCACGTACTTTTGCATTGATATGTTCGACCGAATCGTTATTGCAAAGGCCTGTTGCTAACTCAAAATTTGAAAAATCTAATTTAAAATCATCATAAAGACTAAGCAAAGCTTGTACAGTCAAATAAATTCCAGGTGAGCATGGTGGTTCTGAAACATGATTTTCTATATGTTGCACGACCCATTGTTTAGACTTTAGACGATGCATCAAACTTTTCGAGATGCTGCTGAATCTCTGGAGATCTATCGGATAATGGGTGCTTCAGTGGATTTGTAGAAATTAAATAATACGCATTACAGCCACATATGACCGCATTAAGATTTTCGAGAAAATCAGCTGAATCTTGCCACAATTAATTTGGTTGTTCAATAATTGAAACGCTAATTTAACTTTCATGACATCAAAACTATTGGCGATATGGCGCTAGCATGATTGCTTAGGCCACAATATTATGATAACCGACTTTCTGTGGCTTTCATTTTTGCCAACTAAAATTTCGTAATTTTTAAGCTTTTTATCTTAATTTTTGTTCACTAAATATTTACATCAAAAATAACAGAAATTAATTTTGTTTAACACCCATTCTTCAACTTCTGTTTTATCTATCGCATCACCAGCACGATTCACTCTGTTCACTAATTCGACTAGATCACGTATTTCTTTTTGTAAATTACCCAGTCAGAGGTCTCGAAAGAAGTTGACCCTACGACTTTTTCACCAACATTGTAAAATGTTTTCATCTTGGAAAAGTACCTTGCAGCAATCTTTTACGATATTTAATACATACATCCGTCAGCGTACTGAAAACAATTAAACCGCGCAGAGCAGATCGGATACCAAAATTCAGGTGTTCAGATTATACATATCATATCATTTTACACAATTGATCAATTCGGATTATAGAGTATGTAGTTCGGATTATAGGGAGTACGGACTATTCATACAATAACGTAATGTATTTTATAAAAGTATACAAGGTGTTGTTGGAAATACCAATTTTAAATAGTCCCACGGATTTTCAATAAAAATCCATTGAATTCGAGTAGTTATCCGGATATCGGAGCATTCAGCTCCAAATCCACAGCGTTGCTCGCGATGTCAGTTTGATGATCAGTTTATATCAACACTTATCGATCGTTGGAAACCAGCGCAAATCGGCTGGCGTTTGCTGCTTAGGCGCACGGCCCCACTACTTACCTCCCCTACACTACTTCTAACTTGTGTGTTTGTTTCGGGAGGAAACCGCATGATGACGCTAGCTTACGGCTGCATATCGCTGGACCGCTTCGCCTATGCTCATCGGCGATCTCTCTACTAATCCTCTGTAATCGTCTCAATGGATCCCAAGGAGTGAACATTGTTTTCTTAGGGGATAAGCACAAGCAAGTGTTGGGCGCTGAAGCGACCTTCTGGACCGAACAAGCCGATTCGACCTCCTTAGACAGCCGATTGTGGCCGAGGGCATCCGCTATGGCGGAGGTGCTCTGGTCCGAACCCGAATCCACTTGGAGAGCGGCGGAAAGTCGTTTCTTGATACATCGGGAACGATTGGTGCGCCTGGGCGTTCAAGCAGACGCTTTAGAGCCCGAATGGTGCACTCAATATGAAGAAAATTGCCCCATTGGGGGCAAATTTAACGTAGCCAACATGTAATTGGTTGAGTGACGCTTCAGAATAATAAGTTGCCATACAAGCGATGATTCAAAAGATCGAGATCGTTTATTACAATGTTTTTTTTTACTGAGCTTACTCACTCTCCCCTATTTGTCCACAACACTCATGAAATAGATCCATGTATCGAACAAACTTTACTTACATTATCTTAGTGCTCCGCCATGTCCCAATTGTAAAACAGAAAATGTGTAGAACTTATTGCAGTTGGATAAATCACCTGGCTCTGCCCCGGAAAAATCCTGCAATAAAACACAAACATTAGGTAAGTCCGCCCCTGCCCTCATTAAATTGCTTGTATGCGACCCACAATACGTCCCGGAAAATTTTCGGTTGCCTACTACTGCATACGATTAATATGTTAAAAAACAAGTTTGAAAAAAGTTGCTGGCTGCAAGTGCTAATTCGTAATGAAATGAATATTAATGCCAAAGCGGATTTTGAAATGCGAGCGAAGACAAAGGAATTGACGGTGCAAGTTGGTTAAAACAAGCTTTGAAAATGGTACTTTCGAAGCCTACGCGCGCTGAAGTTTATTTTCAATAATTTGCACCCCAGAAAATGCCGGAATCATCCTGAAGCTAATGCAATATTAAAAATTAATTTGGCTGCGACCCATTCTTGTCCCAGCTTTCTCAATTAAAACACAACCTTTATTTCGCATCATTATTATAGAATACATCAGCCAATTGCAGCGTATGCATTCGATATGACTATATTTATGAACATTTTTCACAAAAATTAATTCAAAACCTACATTCTACCTAACAGTACGTTATTGTATTGATGTTGTATAATGGTAGGGAACGCCATTCACTTTTTAACACGGTTTCAGTGAAAAACTGGGTTGTTGGGTACGCCTGACTACGTTGAACTCAATCTATTTAGAAATAATAATGCTCAGGCAGGATGGTCCAGTTGCCACGTCGCACAACTGCTGCCTGAATTGGTGCGAAATGAGCACCAACATGGGAAAAATATGTTGTCAGCCTTCCATTTTAACAAAATATAATAAAGTTCAACTATAAACAGGTTGAACAAAATCTGAACCACACAGTTACAAACTGTTTCATAGAAGCTCACTAAAAAAACCCCAAGAAAATAGGCAATTCACTTATTGCCTTTCTACACAAAACAACATTGTAGTACGCGCACAATCGTTTTGTCCCATCGGAAAACGATTTTACTTTAATACCCACCTCGATCAAATCTTCCCCGGAAATTACCTCTTGGTCGAAACATTCCCGGTCCTCTAGGACCCCACGATCCGCCTCTTCCTCGCCCCCGGTCCACCCAGGGTCCACCTCCTCGCCCCCTTCCTCTTCCACGAAACCCACCACGAAAATTATTAAAATCGCCCCGATTTGCGTAAAAACCGGGCACATGTCCGTCATTATTTCTGAAGACTTGCTCTTCTGGCCATGATGGGGCACAGTCGACTGGATAACAAAGCAGAGGCTGTCTAATTCCCATATCCATCTACATAAAAAAATTAGAATAAAGAACATAAACCAATCAATTTAATTTGGAAAATAACAATTAGCATTTAACCAGGGATGGCGCTCTAGATATTTTTTCTTATTATAATAATTTATTGCGGTTCTTACCCGCGGTGGAGGCGGAGGCACAGCCATGCTCGGCGGCGGGTGGCTCATGCTTGGTGGAGGGTCTGAAAGTTTCGGCGGCCCTCCAATTCCAAAATCAATGGGAGGCGGCGGATGAAGCGCCACCCACGAATTCAGTCCTTGTGAGCCGCAATTGGACACACCTGTTCGATCCTGCACGTCTAATTCAGCGGACAAATTACTGAAGTCATTCAGATCTCCTGCAATATCATCTAAAAATTGATTGGCGTCCACGTCATCCAACAAATCGGGCAAAGGGGGCGGCGGCTCAAGTGACATGTGCACATCTTCTGCATCAAAACGGCCAGTCATAATCGCGGAACAAAATTTTTCACTTTTTGGGAAAACTCACTATTAAGCAGCCCATCGGCGTTGTCTAGGTCGTCGCTCAAATCCATGTCCATTTCTGTCGTCTGAGTGTTGTACCGCATTCGAGGATCACCTGGGGCTCCGGGTGCAGGTAGTGGAGGTGGCGGAGGCGGCGTTTTCTTTATTGGCGTATTGCTAATGAGGGGTGGAGGCGGAGGTGGTGGCGGCGCGTTAACATCGAACTGTAACCGATAGTCTTGATCTTCGGTAGGTAGCAAAGACCGAGATTGTTCAGAGATGGACGGTAATGTCCGGTAGTCCTATCGATTTCAACCAATCAGAACAACGATAATGTCTTTCACCTTTTCTAGGTACCTTATCTAACGACTCCCATAAGGATTCCTGAGGTGTAATGGTGGTCAGATTGCCCCGAGCGGGCAAAAACTTTGGCCGCCCGTTCAGTAAAACCTCTTGATCCAGATCGGGTGACTCAGTTAAACTGATCAGATTTCTATGGTCGACATCTTTCCCCGTCAAGCTGCCTAGGGAATCATCTAAGCATGAAACATTGACTGAACTTGAACATTGTCGAAACAGTTTTAGACTAAGTCAGCTTACCTAGATCGCCCATGCCAGGAATTATCCCTCGGTGATCCACATCAACTGCACCGCTACACAAAGAAGAGTCGTGGTACTCAACTGGATCCCCATACCCTTAAACAAGTCCCAATTGAAATGTGCACCATTTGCCAAAGTAAACGATCTCACCTTCTTTTTCGAATAATGGAGGGCTTTCTGGAGTGTCAGCATCGTTCAGGTCGTTCCAGCCGCTGTTGTCTATATCGTCCCATGCCTCTGTTACCTGTGAAGGGTCGTACGACTCTTCCAAGCTGGGCGGATACGGGTTACGGTAGGGGTCGTAGCGAGTGTCGTCTGCCGATTCAAGGTAAGAATCTGATTGATAAGTGTGATCTGACAAATTCATCAATACTGTTCAGAGTCAGAATTGTAACACTAATACGGTCAATTTGCACTCTGAGAAAACGCATATGCATAGTGAAATATGTATGTATGTTGCAAAGTTTTCAATTGCATTTAAAGCATTTTTCTGCAAATTAATAGTAATTGATGGAGTTAGAACTCATTCTTATCCTTCAACAACAGAAGACCGGAGGTTTGACATATTGAAACCAACTTACTATACGACGCAGACGTGCTGATATCCATACTGTTATTAAAACTGAATCCGGATTCGCTGTTCTTGGAGAAAGGTGGCATTGGCGGCGGCAACAATGGATTGTAAGGCGCTGCTCCATCTCTAAAATATTTATAAATTGCAAGCAACAGTTTTAAATCTGCAAAAAGGTCTCACATGTCCCCTAAATCTTGCCGTTGAGTCGCAGACGAGGGGGTAGTAACATAACTGTTCGTGGTCTGAGTGTTATTTATTGATGACGTTTCCGCTGTTGCGTTGGAAAAGAGCTCTGTAGTGCTAATATTCTGCAATAAGTGATTGTATGGATGTATTTCACACTAAACAATGAACCACCGTTAATGATTTCACTTACCGATATGTCGAATGATAGGTTTTGTCCTAGAAAACTAGTGAATCCGTTAGACAGAAAGCTGGAGCTGGTCTCTGCAGCGTCTGCATTATTAGCGCTATTATTGTAGCTGTCGCTGTGGTTGTTTTTGTAAATTGAACTGTTAGTTGTAGGTGGAGGTACATAGAAGCCTGGATTGGAGTATTGAATCAGCGACATGTCCATTTCTACAAACACAAAAATTACTGATACTAGACGAAGTTTCTGTGAAATGCGGCTTACGATCAGGTTTCAAGTGAGAAACAATGTCGTCTTCCGGTAAGTCAATGTCTTCCTCTGGACTAGGAGATGGCGCATTAATGTCCGGCGACGGAATCGGACTTGGCAAAGACTCTAAATGCTCTTCCAGCTTCTTTTGAACATGCTTAACCCGCTGGCTAAAAGTTCTATATGCCTGCAAGAATTATTTTTAGTTTTAGTTTTAGGCATTATCTATCGGATATCTGGAAAGTGCGTACATTGGCGACCATTTTCACATCTTTTCTGTCCGACTCCAAATGTGTCTCTGCATGCTTTAGTACTGAAATAAGTGCTATTCGGTTTTTTATCTCCAATTTAAGGGCATTTATGTAACTCTCCATATGATCCACGTAGACGTCCAACTCTTTTTCCACATCGTCCACATGCGCCCTATCTGAAATTCCACTTTTCAATTAAGCTTTTACCAAAATCTAGACTTACCCTTTAGCGAGGTTATCAGACTTTCAGATATAGTGATTTTTGGATTATGTTCCTTCAGGACCTTTAGCTTGCCATCAGTGTCCTTCTCCAATTGAGCGCAGCTTTTTATTTTGTTTATCACATAGCTGGCCTACCAACAAGAACCAAGCTGATGTTTTGGCTCTAATGTTTAATAAGAAAGTTTATCTTTACCTGAAACTCATGCGGTTCATCACTTTTTGGCCCTGTAGGCTGAACACTTATCAATCCACACAAATCTGTAATGTACTCTTCTCCATATACGGCTCTTTGTTCCCATATTTTGAAAATTCTTAGGATTTTATGTTTCACTTTTTCGTCTCTATAAAACAGACCCACCAACTTTAAACCGGTGTACATGCGTTCAGCAATCTACTGTCGTATGAACTACTCGAGGATCCACTGGTAAGGCGGCAAGCTTACCTGACCATCGTTGTGGCTTTCTGAATGGCGGTACCCCAAGTATCCACATAGTCGTAGTTTCTTCTCTTTGAATACTGAACGACATCGTTTGCCAAATAGAACAGTGTTAGTCTTTGTTCGATTTTAACTCGTTTTATTACGTTCAGCCAAGAAGTAACAATTTTCTTGTAGTGCTGCCGGTTAGCCAAACACCACTGACAACACTGATTGATGCTTTCCTGCGAGTCTTTCAAATTGGTCAGTTTTTTCTCGAACTGCAATGTTGAAAACTCACTGTCCGCACTGGATGTGCCCATTTTAGCCTTAACATTCACGCGAGAAGTTGTTAAAGATCTGCAACGATTACATTATGCGAAGCACTATGATTAGAGCTTCTCAGATATTTTCTTCGCTTTCAAGCAAATCTATGTTTGCAAACAACTACAATGTACCTCTTGGCGGCATGAGCAACCACCCGACTTTCAGTACTATTGCAATCATATGCTCTTGTTCTTTTATCAGTGCTCAATCTAAGGACTTTTCACATGGAATAGTTGGTTGCAACATATGAAAACATTTGGCTAAATATAAAAATGTATTAAGGATGAGAGGCAAGCTTCCTCAAAACACATTTAACTGTCATTTTGATTTGGCGAACGTCATCAACGTCAAATTAACTGCTCTTGCAATGTTGCCGGTTTCCTAATTTTCATTTATAGCCATAGTTGACAAATATTAAAACGAGGTTGAAAGTAGTAATACTAGAGTTTTTTTGCATATATGTATGACCATAGATAAAGACGAGTGTATGACTACTGAAAGGGACAAAACCGGCCATAAAATAACATTTTGTTGGACTCATGTACTTTATGACTGTCCAGGTTTGGCACATAGATGAAGACAACTACTAAAACGACTGTTTGGCAGTCATGCAGTACTAATGTTCTTGTCTTTATCTATGCTTTATTTATGTTATTCCTTATTTTAATACTGCATTTGCGTTATTTCTGTAACGAAATTATAGTTATTGGAATGTCTAGTTCACTGCTTTCAGTATTAAACATGTGTTATTGTGTAACCTAACCTTGCACAATTTATTATTAATCATTTTACGTTGGTGTATTTGTATTTTTTACTTTTCAATTGGATTTTGGTTGCTGTTGCTCATTTACGCTTAATTGTTATAATGAAGAAAATTACATTTTTGATAATACTTATATTTATAAACAGGGGTGGTTATCAGGCTGAGGAAAGAGAATATTTTTATTTAGAACAAATGTCCGATGAGTATAAATATGTCTTGAAGTGCATATTATTCAAGGCTTAGTGGAGATACGAGGAACTGATACGATAAACCAACTGAAGTTTTTGACCCTTGTTTGATCCCCCTTGGTCATTACGGCGTGATATTTATAAGTTCCCCAACATCACGACTCATTTGGTGAATTACTTAATTTAAAGCCGTAGTTTTTACATTGGATTACAGCTCAAGGCTTATAAAGATTTGCAAGTTTACAAGCATGCTGAGTCTGGAACCGTTCAAAAGATATCAGCTACACACGTTAGGGATAAAGCATTTATTTTTAACATAATTCTCTTTTACATCCATCACTTGAACTTTTGCTTGCAAGGTGTACATTATTGAATTGCAAAAATCTAAATTCTGAAAAACACGACTTGAATATTCTTCAGTTAGGTACAT